TTTATTTAGTATATTTGTCAGTTAGTATACCTGATAACGGAATTATTTAATGAATAATTAAGGAGAATACAAAAACATAAATATGTTTATGAGAATAGTAATAATGAAGCATGGATTATAGAAACAATAATTGTCTACTAAACTAAATTATTGTAGACGAATAAATAATAGGAATATATGCAAAAGCAAAATTGGTTATGCAAAGGTTAAATACCTTAATTGTACTAATGCTGATTTAACACTACAAACATGGGAAAAACCTTTTCGCTTGAATATAGAAGTTTGGTAAATTTGAACCTAGTATTGAATATCATTCTAATTTTTAGAATTACCTAATAAAGGAAGGATGAATAATAGTTCAAATAAAATTAAAATATAGTGGCAGATATTTTAGGTGTTTCGTCGAGGACTCAAGATTGGGGTTCGGTAAAATCTAGTAGATACAGCTAATGATGCATTTGTTACAAAAAATTGAATAGAAATAGAATTATAACTAAAATCTACATATTAATCACTTTATTTTATAAGTTATATATTTCAAGCTTAATTTTAAATTTCATTATTCATCAACAATATACATATGAACTCATTTCATTATTTATAAATAGCTAATTATATAATTATAATGAAAATGGTTTTTATGATAAATTCTGATTAGACTATTCTATTGAACCTCAAATAAATGACAATCATTAAGAATAGCCATGATTAAAATATATTAAGAACTTGATTGGGTAGCTTTCCTGCTAGAAATCTCTTCGACAGATGTTTTAAAGGTAATATACTGTTCTAACCTATGTAAACATAAGTTAAATTATTTGCAGTCGGATATAAAATTAAAATAAAAACCAACGAATAATTATGATACAAAACAAGATTGACCATTTTTTACTTATCACCATGTAATGAAAGGTGTTGGCAGCGGTAGGCGTACAAATTTCTTTATTAACATTATGCTGATTATGGAAAAAAGACAACGGAACTGATCATCTAATCATAAATTATCAAGATATTTTCATTCTTCTTTCCTAATATATCTATTTTTTGATGATTTAAATGTTGCGAGAAAAGGTTCTATAAATATAAATATTAAAATGAATTAATGTGATAGTAATCAATATTAATGATTTGTAACAACCCATGTATATTGAAAGGCTGGGTAAATTGACCTCAGTTAGGTTGGTATTGATTTCTTAATAGTTGAACAAGTACATATGCATACTATAAAAAATAATTTGCTATTCTAATCACTAAGAAATTAAACTAAGAGTTTAATTTGAAATTGTTTAAAGATAAAAATTAAAACAAATCTAAGTATTTCACTTCTAATACAGAAATTTAAGGAAGTAGAATTTACACATTCGATTTCAGACATAAATGATAACATATTTCCAACATAAAGCATAATTACTATTGAGTTTTTATTTCGATTGAATCATAGTTAACCAATGTTATAAGATATTTATCATCATCTGCCACAGTCGCAAACATCGATGAACCTTATTAAACTAAAATCAATTGCTTTAATCAATTAGCTATCCCAAGATATTGAAACGAATGTAAATTTAATGAGGTTCAAAGTATATCCGTTTTTATTAGGAGTATTTATTGGGGAGATTATCCAACAGACATATTCTGTTTTCTATGCCATAAAGATTGATTTTAACCTTTCATAATTAAAATTAAGCAATCTCTCCAAATGAAACCAATTTATTTGCTTCTTCATTCATAGATACTATAAACACTGTTGAAGTGTACGAATTGATACTCCGGAGGTGTTTGATCAAATTTGATTGAATATCATCAATTTTTTGGTGTTTGGTTCTACATGAGAGATTCTTAGAGTTAACAATTAGTTTAGTTATGTATTTGGGATTAGCCATTAAGTTAGAAGATTAGATAAAAATTAAAGTATTCATTGATCCAGAAGTAAAGTGTGATCTTCTCAAGAAAATTAGGCACGCAGACTATGTGTAATGGTTATAAACTTATGGATAGTTTTTCAAACACCCTTTTCTAAATTAGTAAATTTTATTTGATTATTTGTTACCAATAACTAATTGCGTATTTGTTGAATTTTTGATAAAGCAAGACCATTATTCTAATTTCTATATTTATATGTTGGAAGGAGTTCAAATGAAGAGGATGAATTTGTCATGATTCTGGTTGAGGTGTCAACAAAATTATTACTTTTTGAAGTTTAATAAAAAAAAGATGTTGATGCTTTTATTATATCAATATGTCTCATTTATATTATAATTCATATGTTGAATATCCTCCTTTATGTTCATCCCAAAATATTAAATATTTTCCATCATCTGTGGTCGTTCCAAAGCTCCACTTAGTACTGCAATCTAATTCGTTTTGAATGACAAGCTTTCCATTGATTTCCTTGATGACATATATGATATTTTTAGACCTAATAAATATCATATTTTTGTCCTTCAAATAGACAATTGGGAATAAAGCGCATCCAATATTCTTATTAGAATTAAGTAATTGGATTCTATTATCAGCATCTTCATTAAAAATCCCATCTTCATAATCAAATACGCAAATGCAGTTCAATTCATTACTATAAGGCATCCAAATGAATTTATTATTTTTGATAAATTTGATATGACAACCAGAACAATTCAAAACTGAAGTAAACACTTACTTAAAATAAAACTTATCTCCTTAGCCAAATTCCCAGACTATTATTTATTAATCGTCTCCACTTGAAACCAAAATAGTATTGCATTCATTCAAACTTATGGAACGAACGCATTTAGTATGTTTTTCTAGTTAATACAGATAAGTTAATTCATTCTGACTGAAATCTACTTTCCACACAATGATTTTTTAATCTTCTCCTGCTGAAAATAGTTAGTTTTCTTAACTATTAAGAATCATGGTTCCGATCCATCCTTTATGTTCTCTATAGTGTTATGATGCCTTCCATTCATTTTTTTTGATTTATTTCCAACAAATAATTGTTTTATCATTTGAACTTGAAATAAAACTTTCTTACTTTTTACTATATACTAGACAATAGATGTAATTAGAATGTCCTTATAAAGTTGATTAATAATTGAGTTTGCCGTCAATTATATTCCACACCTTAATATCAAAATGACTCATCGATACCATTTGAGTTCCAGTTTTGTTGAAAGCAATTGCATAACATTTACTCTTTTATTTTATTGTATCATCTATTAACTATAGATTAATCTAAGGTTCTGATGCCAATTAATTAGTAGCTGATTTAAACTCATGAATTTAGTCAACTTAACATTATAAATTATTCTATTATGATACTTTTTATTGTTGAACCTCTTCTTGTTTAACTTGAATGGTTTAACTTAAGTTCTACAATATTTCTTAGCACTTTTAATACACTTTAAAAGAGCTAAATTATTCCAATTTTTCATTTATTTTTACATTCCAAAAACTATTTACTTTATTGATCTCATCTACTAATAAAGATTTATCAATTGAATTCTCCAATTATTTTGAAATTAAATTTTCTAATTCTTTGTGAAAACTATATTGAGAATATTCATGTCCAACAGATAATAAATTTTTAATCCAACCTCCACTGAATCCAATTATTTCATCTAATTAAAACGCTATTGCTGACTTTAATTTATTAATATTTCCTAATAACTCCTCTACTTACTTTATATTTAATTAAATAGTCTTCTCTATGGTTTATACTTTCTACTTCTAATTTTACTTAATCTGTTTCGACACTAATTCATATCCCATAGTCGAAAATTGAGTTGTAAAATTTTTTATACAATCTGAGCATAAGAGTCGCTAATTTAATTCTAATTTTGGATCCAGAACAACCATTAGTATAGGCATTTTGTGTTTATTAGCACATTTTAGATCCTTTTCTTTTTCTATCATTGAAGATTTAAACATTTGTTAAATAAATTATCCTGACAATAATTTGGAAATTATTATTTTTAATTATATATATTGAGAGTTATTATTTTTCCTATAATGACCAACATTCATCTTAGAGTTTATATTATTTCATTGCTGAAAAATTTGTAATATGCTTATAATATATTTAAGAAATTTCTTCAATTCATCTAATAAAGGAAATAATTCATAGAATAATTTGCAAATTATAAATCTTCCCTCCCTTATAATTTTGGTCTTAATTATCATTTTTCTTTAGAAAAAAATCTCAATTCATATCTTTACTTAAAAAAAATATCACTTTTTAGAATAAGTTGTATCTTCATTTTTTTTCTTAAATAACTTTATCAAAATATATATTTGCCTGTAGTTGAAATCAGTGTTTAACAATTTTATATAAGTCTAATATTATTCTTTAACTCAACTCTTAACCCAGTTGCTTAAGAATATATTTGTTAATGTTTTAGAATTTCAAAGATTTATTTTATTCTAATGTATAATTTAATTAGATGAAATTATGAAATTTCAATCAGAAAAAAATACATTTAAAATATCCATTAGAGCTTATAGGATGAAAATTTCGTTTTATTAACCTTAAAGGTGATGTAATTGAATAAATTAATTACGGAGTTAAAAATGAATTTATAATCATATTTATAAAATATGATTACAATAAATGAGATTAAAACTACTACTTATCATAATTATAACAATTTCTATGAATATTCTATAAAGATTTTAATTTGCTTGATTCCTAGATCTTCTTTTTTGAGTTTTTTTTTGGAAATCAATTTATAATAACAGTTTTTTTTATATCCTAACTTAATTAGTTTAGCTTTATAAAAGATTTGTACAATTAAAGATAACATATTCTAAGATGATTTTTTAATTTATGTTTCCTATCAAATCTAGTGATGTTTAAAGCAACTTAAAGTTCAATCTTCCTTTTAAATGAAGTTAAATTTCATAACATATAATTCGATAAATGAATCAAATCTTTGTTAATCATAATCATATTGAAATGTTATTATTAAAAGATAAAATAAGTTAATTTTGTCAATACTGAATTTATCTATTTCATAAATTTTATTGTGTCAACTTCATCATCGTACTCTGAGATCTGATTTCAAAGCAAAATTAAAGAGAATGGAAATAGGCTCAAAGATATTTTTTCATACGAAATATTTATACATTTACTATTTATTAGTACTTGAAATTCAACCCGTTTTTAACATCACAAATATATATATTTTAAAAATTCTGTTGAATATACTAATTATATCTAATACTAATGTTAAGAACTAATATTTAGGACTTATCTACTCTCCTCAAGGAAAAAGAAACTAGATACACCTTCCGTAAACTTGAAAGAAAGGACGTTTATAATGCATAAAGACTTATGATAAACGCGTTTCTTTCTCATAATCCAGTTATATAATTACTATAGGCGACAGAAGAAGACATTAAAGTTTTACAATCAATAGACATTTTGTATGTATATGAGTTTATTATGTTTTAGTGATCGAATTATACAAGAAAATCTGTCATATGGGGCTTTTGAAGGAGACAATCTAGTTTCTGCATGTTTAACTTGTGATTTAAAAACAGATATGTAGGATGAAGGTGTGTAGCCAACTCCTGTGGCTACAGAAATTATTGGGATTATTGATATTTTATTAGGTAAGTATGTAGCATCAAAAGAGAGAGATTATAAGGAGGTAGCTTATCTAAACCATTTGGGAACTCATTCAAATTATTTAAGGTAATCCTTAGCTGTTGTGTGTGCCTATCTGTCTATTGAAGAATGTAGAAGGCAAGGATTTAAATAGCTTCTAACAGAATCTTGGCATCAGGGAACTTATAGCACCTTTAGTAAAATATTTAACAACTTTGAAGTAATCAAAGAAATTCATGAAATTAAATAATCAGAAGTGAAACTTATCTCATTGGTTGGATAATTGAATTGACTTATAAAATAATTGAAATATTAGAAATATTTTATATTTTTGTCGGTTGCCGTCTCAATTTTTTTCAATACACAGGATCATGTATAGAAGTTTAATAAATTAGTTGCATTAAACAACAGAAATAAAGAATTTTAAAACTGACTTTGTATATTTTTCTATTTGGCTCTCTCTGAAATGCTTATATATTTTAATAACCAAATATGAGCTGTTGTTTGATTTCAATTTCATTGTCAGATATCCATTTTTAGTTTGATTAGAGGCAAGCGACCTGATGGAATAATAATTATTAATATTTGGTATATAAATCAGTTAAATTACTAAAAAAATACTAATTTAATAATTATTATCATTTTCATAAGTTCGAAACTTTTAGTAATGCTGTTTTTATTATTTATTAAATTTATTAATTAATCTTTTTATTAAGTCAAAAGTCGGGTTAAACATATAATATAAATATTTTAAACAATAAATACAATTATCTCAAAAATTTATAAATGTTATTAATTTTGAAAATTGATAAGTAATTGTATATTTAAGGCTAAGGTAATCGAATCATCATTTTTGATTCTTGTTAAATAAATATTATTATCAATAACTCAGCTAAAACTTAAGAACAATTATTTTAAAATTTGAGATTTATATATTAAGATTAAATTATATCCAAGCGAATTACTTTAATTAATAGAATTATTGAGTCTAAGTGGAATATGTTATATATTGTTTGATTTTATTATTATTAAAACGAAGAAAAGTATTAAGGATTAATTTAGTTTAAATTATGAGTAATAATCCAAAATCAAAAGAATAAAACCTATTAGTTTAAAAAACAGAATAAGAAACCTTTGAATTCTCAAAATACCAATAATTCTCTTAAAATTAGAACTAGAAGGGTAATATTTTTTGTAATTGAGTAGAAAATGTATTAAAGATATAATAGGGAATTGCAATTCCAAATAACAGTGATTATACTAAAATGCAAGAATAGGAATGTCCATAAGATAATCTGATACATCAAAAATGCTTTAGTATCCAAAAAATGTTCGTGATAAAAGTTCTCGTCCTCTTTTTCTTTTGGTCTCTTTTTTAATTTTTCTTAATCTATGCTTTGCTTTATGGAATGAGAGAATTTATAGACCAAATTGCGCCTTATTTATTTCCAATATCTCTTCTGTTAATGTGTGGACTAGCTAAAATTGGAACTCTTTGGCAATTCAGACGAGTACATTATTATAGAAATTATTTTCCAAGTTTCCAGAAAACCTATTCATCCTAATATTCTAAGTCTACCTATCAACTTAAACATACTTGACATTTTGTAGATTATTTAATAATGATTCAATAAACGATGAGGATGGGATATCTTTTAGTGGTATTAGAGAATATAAATTTTAGCTGCTGACTTAGTATTTGTACTTGCAGAAAACTAATTTATCTTCAATTGTGTGATTAACCTCATCTTGATCTTATATTTTGCTATTGAATAAGAAACAATAAGAATATTTAGTAAATATATTATGATGATGTAGTTCCTATTGCTGTTTGCTGTATATTTGGATTAATTCCGCTAATATTCAACATTTGGTTATTTATAAATTCCATCATCTCAGTCCTATATGGATCTACAATAATGATAGTTATTGGATAGATTGTTAAAGGAAGAGTATTAAAAATCAATTATTTTTAGTTTATGATTTAAGTGGATAACATAATTGCAGCCACAAATATCCTCTTTTTTGGACTTATCCTTCCAGTTGAAATGTTTTGATATTAGAATATTAATTAATTAAAATTAGATACTATTTTATGCATCCAGTTTAATCAATACTGATATTAATACTAATTAAATAATATAGTTAAAATATTACTATTTTAGACTAATTTTATAATACAAAACATAATATTATGGAATGTCTAGGATATATAAAAAACAATATTTATTATTTATTGCAATAGAAAGGAAATTTAATAAATGTTTAGTTTCATCCTTTTAAAAGTAAGCAGTTTATGATTTAATAATATAATAATAAACATAGTCATTAGATTATAAATAATACACAAACAATAAAAGCATTTCCAAATTATATACTTTTAATCATATCAAAAAAACATGATGTTATTTAATCTAAGTTCTATTCTATTTTATATAAATTATTTGATTACTCAGTTTGATTAATTGCATAAATATATACAATCTAAAGGCTGTAATTAATAATTTTTTCATATGTTATATTTACTCAATTCTTTCTTATTGATGATATGATTATAGATGAGGCAACCTTTTATTCCTTAAATCTTGAGCCACCATTTGGTTTTTTGATAAACAAGATCATTAGAGAAACTTACGAAACTGTCTTTATCAAAATTATATTAATGAATAAATGCAATTTTTATATTAAATGACTGACGCTAAAATAATAATCATCAGAAACTTATGATAGATTACTCGTTTATGATGAAGAACACCATTTATGTTCATTGTTCTAGTATAAAATTTCAAAAGGTTCATAAATAGATAAATTTTTAAACATTTTTTGTTAATTATAGATGTTGATTCTTGCCAATTGTAAGAGAACAATTTAAAAACCAAAATTATAGAGTTAAGAGATTGTAGAAGATAAAATTACGTATCAAATAAATCATAATCATTTGAGAGTGATTTTATTTTGATAATTTAGAAAGAAGTGGAAATCCATAGACATTGAATTTATGAAAGGTATCATATTTTATAAGTTTGGTATCTTAAGTTCATATTAATGAAGAAGATTATGGATTTGATTTTAATAATTAATAATTCATATTATGTTTTCAGATTATAATACAGAAGAGCAAGATACATGTAACATTGAGTAGAACCTTAAGTAAAAATGGTTGCCTCTCTATTAAAAGGATACTCAACTTGCAATGAAGATATTAATTGCTCTTAAAAGCGATATTCAAAAATAGATGTCCTCTTTTATTCAATCATCGATAGATTATATGAAAAGTTTAGATGATTAAGTCTAAGAGTTGTAACTAAAATCAAATTAAATTGGATCATTACTTTATTAACTGCCTTCCCAAGTCTATAACAACCCTAATCAATTAAATTTATTAATATCTGAATCATTAGTGGATGGAGAAAGGATTAAGGAATTTTTGAAGATTAAATTAAGGAATTTTGTAGATTCTGACAATTTAATTAACTTTATTCAGAAAATTCAATAAATTAAGTTCGACGATTCAATCAGAATTTTTAATAGAATATTTTAACCTCAATAAAATTAAAAAGATGGAAACTGGACTTGTAACCAACATAATGAAAGGATAAGATATGTATAATTAAATGAGGAAGTTTCAAATAAGATAGCTTGTGAATACTGTAGATAAGATAATAAATATGGATAATACATTACCTTATAAAGTTTGAAAAATAGGTGGAATGAATATATTCTAGAAACTGCAAAGTCTTTTAATTTGGTCCAGAACAAATTGGTATCAAAATCAAACATCATTTCCTAAACAATTAGCTCATTACAATTACACTTCCAAAAGTTAATTGATTAAATCAATTAATAATTGAATAATCAATCCACTATTGAACTAAATAAATTACTGAATATTAAAAATAAAAATAATATATTATATTAATTCAGTAATACTTTAGAAAATGATTAATTTCACCAATAGTTTTAATTAATGCAATATGATTGGTCTGAATTCTCAACAGGTTAGTTAGGGGATGTAGCTTACATCTGCAGGTAGAAAAATTAGATTGAATAAATTGAATAAGAGTCGATATATAAGGACATCTAGATAACAAATATGTTGAATTAATCAAAATGTTTTACCAATATGATGATTATCCAATTTGAATCATTCCTGAAATATTGGAATAAGCCATAAATCAATTACAATCAAAATAGTGAGATCGTTGAATCTGGAAATTAAGCAGTTCCTTTGAATTATTAGTTACTGGAGTAATATAATGTGAAAGAAGAAAAATGTTTATCATTTGCTTTCAATAGTGACTCCAGTATTTTGGTTGTTGGATGCAATTGTTTTATTAAGGTATTTGAATTTAAACAAGGCCAATTAACACTAAGATAAATATTAAACGACCATAAAGATTATGTGAGATGTTTATACTTTATGAATAGGACCAATTAATTTATATCAGGTTGCAATGACTGTAAGATCATGATATGGTCTTGTGATAGTAACAACCTTTGGTATTGCTCATAAGTGTTGGAAGGACATACTGATTATGTAAGGGCTGGAGTAATCATGAATAATAGAGAAGACTTGATTATCTCTGGTTGCGATGATCGTTCCATAAGATTCTGGTCTAAGAAAGATAGTCAATGGCATTGCAAATAAATACTTAATGGTCATTCTGCCGAAGTTCGTAGCTTAAGTTTAAACCCTTCTTCAACGTAACTTATTTCTTGTTCAACTGGAACTGAGATCTTTTTGACTTAATATCATCAAAATAGGAAATAGTGGTGTATAATTTAGATTATACCGACAAATAAATGTGGATATAGTTTAAAATTTATTAAGGATGATTTATTCACTTTCTAACCTTTTGATTAAGAAATTCTTTAGATATATAAGAGAGAATAAGAATAATAAAACTTCTAAATAATCTAAGAACTTAAAGTAAACTCAAAAGATAATAGGTTGGATTTCTTTTCGTAGTAACTAATTGAAGAAAAGTCTATTCTACTCCACAAAAATGGAAACACAATTAACATTATTTAAATCAACTAGAAAAATAATGAATTTTCTGTTGTGTAATCAATTTAAAGTTCAGATGTCTATCTATATGGTTCTATGACTAGAGATGGTAAATATCTAGTTACATGGGACAACGAAAGTAGAAGCATCAGAGTAAGAAAATATCAATAATGAATAATATCAATATTTTCTGATTAGAATATTTAAATTATTTTGATACCTTTCACTTCATAATGTAATTATCATCTATGATTATATTATTTCTTTAATCCTAATTTAGATAAGAAATTTTTATCCTTATACTCATCTTTTTCATAAATTTGATTTATATCTTCTTAAGTATCGGCGTGTATCAGTAAGTATAGAATGATATTCAACTGTTTCTTAACAGACTTATCAAAACAATCATATGCTTTATAATTATGCGATTATAATTTTATAAACAGACAATTAGTTTATTAAATAATAAAACTATGACATTCATAATAATGAATTCAAAATATCAACTTGTAGTTAATTGTATCATTGCAATATTATGCAATTATATTATGAGTAAATTTAATGTTAGTTTATTCAAGCGAAACCTTATCCATCAAATTTCTATATTTTAGATTTCCTCTTAAAATATCAAATATCATTCCTTACGACTAAATTACCCCCTAACTGTCTTCCTCTTAAATGCCTGAAATATGATTAATAAATACTGGATATGAAACAAGATCCTTTATATGAATATAGATGACTATTAGCCCCTCCTTTAGGTGCCTTTCTAATTAATCTTCCCCTACAATAATCAACTAATATTGGTGAGATATCCTTTAATTAGTTGCTCATTACAGCCATACTATTATTTAAAGGTAATTTAATCACTTCAGATTTTACAGATTTCCAATAATAGTATTTAACTACTTATATTTGGTTACTAATCTTTATTAAAAACAATTAATTGATGCTATTACTGATTATAGCAAAGGAATCATTAAGAATATGTAAACTTTATAAAGGATAACTGTCCAGCATGTTTTCTGGCCATCCATTTTTAAAATTCAGCACTGTTTATAACTCCTAGTTAAGGTTTATTAAATTCAACTATTATTTTACAATTTTATTTTTTTTGGTCAATATTAATATGCAATTCAAGTAGCTATCATAATTCAATTAAATAATTGGATAATTATAGGTTATAATAAACTTCTATCCCCAATTATTTAATAAATCCAAAAATATAAAATACACAGTTTCGCCATATTTTGCATCAACACTTATTAAATAATCAGATAAAAAGTATGTAGGAGGTGCTCCAGTATGATCGGTCTTAAACTAAAATGAAAAAACCATTTTATTTTTAAGGTCTAAAATGATTATTTTATCTGAAACTTACCAACAATTAACTTATTTTGTATTCACTACTAAATACTATTCATTTGGACTTATTAGGTATGATACCATAAAGCAATATTAAATAGGTTCTAAGCTTGAATCAATAGAGGATTCGTCTAAAAAATCATCCTAAAATTTTTCTTCAAATTTTTCTGAACTCTCATCATTTTTTTACTAAGTTTCATTTTTTAGTGATTCACACGTATCTGTACGCTGTTAATTTGATTAGTTTGGGACTTTTTCTTCAAAATAATTTAAATAAAATGTTCCTTAAAGATAATTCAAATTTTGTTCTTTCAATATTATATTTTTCCAAAAATTTTGTTCTCCTTTCAACTTTTATTACATTTGATGATTTTATCAACAACTTAAATTATTTTTTTCTTTAAATTATCTTAGTCTCTTTAATTAAAATAATTGCAATTTGATTGGATAAGTTCAAAAAATTATGATATTCCCAATCAATTCAATTACTTACAATTTCCCTATCTTGATGATGATTATATTTGATCAAATATTTTAATCCATTCACAATTAACTAAACTTTAGAGAAAAAGAGAATATCTTTTTTTCTCATTATTTCATTATTTCTAAAAAGGTGGAAATAACACTTTAATAATTGTAAATTTTATCTATGTGTTATTAGCCATAACATTTTTCACAGAAAATTTCTATTTGTATTCAAAATAAATTTAAATTGTGATACTACAATGTAAGTTAAATATTTGATGCTGGGGATGATGATAGAAAATTTTCTTTAAGATGCTTACTTTTCAAAGCAATTGGAATATTAACCATTTAAAAATTTCAATAAAACTTGAGGAAAATATTAAAAAAATAAATATGGTAAACCCTTATTAAATAAATCATT